CTCATCTTGCCAAGTTCAGAAAAATAGTATCTTTTTATTTTTTTTAACTGGGGGGCGGAAACTATGTCGTTTATCCAAAGTTAATGTGCCGCGCTTTTAATATTTGGGAGCACGGTCGTTTAACGGGTAAGTGCTTTATACACTAACTCCATTTTAATAGTTTAAAACATCGTTACGAACCCATGGTTCTAATTCGTGCTTGTAGGGAAAATAAGGTCGGGGTGCCTTAGACGGTAATAACTTATATGCGGTGGGGTTCGGAGCGGTTATTCACAAACTCGCGTTTTTCGAGGATTCTTAATTGGGCTGGATGGTACGCCTGACCCCAGGCCTCATAATATCTACCCCAGACACATATCGAGGTATAATTAATGATATACTCTCGCTGCGTGCTCACCAAAACCACGCGGCGATTCAGAAATTAATGTAGATATAAATCATCATTAATGGGCTTTTCCCCTCTCGGGCGTCATTTCGGTATAAAAGTTTTGCGCCCACACTGAGACGCTGGCCACGAAGCACGGAGAATTGAGCGCGTTTTCCCGAGGGAGCACACGCAGGCTCGGCAGACCCCCGCTGCGGGGACCGGTAGGCACGGAGAGGACCTGTCCTCCGAGGCTGCAGATATTTTCTGACTTCATTGCGTCACCGAGCAGCAGAGTGACTGTCCTAGGAGGCGAATCAAACGTGCCTGTCGGCCCCGAGTGAAAATCCTCAGCCTCGCCCTGGCTGCTGCGGCCCAGTGGTCAGAGCGCCGGCCTGCGCACACAGGGCGATGGGCTTGATTCCCGGCCCAGGGCACGGGGCTGGGTTGCAGGTTCGATCCCCAGCTCCGGTTGGGGTGCATGCGGGAGGCCGCCAGTGATGTGTCTCTCATCTCGATGTTTCTCTCTCTCTCTCTCTCTCCCCCTTTGAAACAAACAAAAAACACGGCCCACGGTCCTAGGGGGGCTGGTGCATTCACCCATTTTCAAAATAAGCCCAGGACAAGCAGTGCGGACAGAATCATATCCCCCGAGTGTTTCTCTGACTATATAACCCTGCATATATATATATATATATAACCCTGCATATATATATATAACCCTGCATATATATATATATACCTGCATATATATATATATAACCCTGCATATATATATATAGATAACCCTGCACATATATATATATAACCCTGCATATATATATGCAGGGTTAGATGCAGGGGAGGGGATCATACAAGATGCAAACCCCCCGGGGGGGGGGCACTGGGGACACCTTCTCATTGGCCTCCCTCGTCTTTGTTTAAAACTCTGTTACCGGGCTCCGTCTACCTTAAATTATAATAATATTGTTTGTAATGACTGCATCTGATCACTTAAGAGCTAGTGTTGAAACACGTTTCAAACATACAACCTGGTAGCATCCGCTGTAATCGCCACGCTGTGCTTTACATGCCCAGAACTTATTCAGCGGATGGCCCCAAGTTTACACCCTTTAACCAACTTCTCCCCATCGTCTGCCCCCCGGCCCCTGGCAGCCAGCATTCTACTCTCTGTTTCTTTGAGGTCACCTTTTTGTTTGACTCTTTGGTTGTTTTTTATTAATATTATTTTTATTATCCTACCCATCAGTGAGATCATACAGTATTTGTCTCTGTCTGTCTGGCTTATTTTACTTAGAAACACTCTCCCCGGCCTCCTCTGGGTTGTCTCGAATGGCAGGACGCCCTCTTTTTCAGGGCTGCGTAGTATTCCATTGTCTCTCGACCGCATGTTTAAAGCCCGTTCATCCCAGAACAGATGCTCAGGTTGTCTCCATATCGTGGCTCCTGTGAACAGTGCCGCAGTGAACACGGGGTGCAGGTATCCCCCCGTGATCTCGACGTCATGGAAACCCTCTTTCCCGTCATCTCTGTGGCCTGCCCGGTGGCAGAGACTGCATCTCGGTGAGAGTGTTTTGTGAGAGAGAGAGAGACGCAGCGGGCTCACGCTCCGAGCCCAAGACCCTGTTTGTAGCTGGGACTCAGCCCTCGACTCCCAGAAAAACAGATTAATTTTTAAAAAGGGAACAAACTTACCGTTGAGAGGGAGAGAGGGGGAGAAGTTCGCGGTCAGGAGACAGGGAAAGGAGTTTCTCCCGACAGCCGCTACGTGGGAGAAACGCTCCTCGGGCCTGCGTTCCTAAGGCAGCTGGCTGGAGGCCTGTGTGCAAAACTGCTGAAGGAAACGCAAGGCGGGAAATATTTTTAAAAATTTATCTTTACCGTTGAAAGTACTACAGATGTCCCCATTTTTCCCCCCCACTGGCCCCCTCCATCTGCTCCCCCCGCCCAGGCCTTCCCCACACTGTCGTCTGTGTCCACGGGTTAAGCACAGACGCCTGTAAGTTCTCTGGTTAATCACCTGGTAAACTTGGGCAATAAGCAGGCAGAACACGCACAGCGCCTGCTACTCACTAAACACCGAGAACACTGCAGTTTTCAAATAACAATCTTCGCTTATTTATGTTCCCCACTAAGTGAAACATGACATATTAACTGGCTGCAGACACCCCCCCCCCC